AACAGTGGTACACCACGCTTATGTATGGATTAATGATAGTGATGGTAGTGAGCTTACACCTGTCATTAATAATCCTCCTTTGACTTTACACTTAACCAATATTAACAGAGCAGCTAGTGGTAATTATACGTGTAGATCCACTAATACAGACTTACCAGGAGTTAACATGGACACTACTGTAACTCTTAATGTACAATGTAAGCCAATATACTAAAGTATCTCCCTTATTCCTTTTTGTTTGATAGATTTGGATATTATTTCAGTATCATTAAATCAGACTGTTGCTATTGGTACCAATTATACTATTACATGCTCATTTGATGCTTTTCCAATGATTGAATCAGTCACTTGGTTTCATAATAGGACAGCAATTAATCTCAAAGCTTTTCCTCACATTAATATCAATACAGAATCAACCACTTCTGAACTCTCTCTTCTACCTATTGGAGGACTTGATGATGGTGGAGAGTATTCCTGCTCTGTTTCTAATGGTGTCCTTAATGCCAGTGATTCATTATTGAATCTCACAGTTGTGTTTCTATTAAAGCCTGACCCAGTGTATAACCTAATGACATCTAACATTACTAATACCAGTGTTACATTGAGTTGGTCATTAGGTTTTAATGGTAATTCTCCAATTACTGGTGGAATAGTATCATACGCTGCTGTATCTAACGGATTTGGTAATGGAACAGAAGTATTTATGGGAGAAAATGAAGAGCTGATAATATTTAATCTTCAACCATTCACTGTCTACAATTTTAGTGTTGCTGTAGAAAATGCTATTGGTATTAGCAATGACGTAACTATTGTTGCTGAAACTCAACCAAATGGTAAATTAAACCAAAATTCTTTATAGTAGTGACCATTTTTGTTGTAATAGTTCCTGATGCTCCTACTCTTAACAGTGTTGTGGTCATCAGTTCAAATTCTTTAAAAGTCAATTGGACAGTAAGTATCATATAGTAGCTAAAATGAGTGCAAATACTTTTTTGTTCACAGAAAGTATTTAGTTTATAGTGGTTGTTTTTATAGAACAATGTGGACCCTTTAACACAGTCAGAGGTGGAATGGTACACAGTGATGTATTTTACAGAAAGACAGCATAATGAATTGAATGTACCTGCTCCTGCCAACACAGTCATAATAAATGGCCTTCTTGAAGGAACCAGTTATTCAATAGTAGTTTCTGCCACTAACAGTGCAGGAATTGGTGCATCTGGTAATTCTATTACAATTCAAACTGGTAAGCTACTAGGCACTACTGTGATAGTGTGATTGTGTATAGCTATTGTGATAGTGATACTGTTATTCTAACTATCATGATAGTTATTGTGTGTGCTGAAGCATGGCATAAATGACACTTGACAGCTGTAATCATCTTCTAATTAATAGCAACTTCCACTCATAGAGTGGTATGACTTGCTAGCACAGCTTGCTTCAAGGTTTTTCATTGTCCCTGCTACATTAGCAGCATGTGAAGGTGTTTTTAGTATAGTGGGACAGTGTTTCTTTGGATTAAATAAATTTTAATTAACTAGTATATTGTGATTATACAAATTAATAAATGCATTAGTTAAGTACAATGACTACATCCTTAAATAAATTAATTTCCACATGTAAACCCTATGGCTGAACTATCGTGATATGTTCACTATCGTGATATTAGAGTTAGAAAATATCATGACAGTGATATTACTACTATCACCTAGTCCTATAAGCTACATATGTACATGTATATTCTATATAATTATAATACTAAAGCCTATGCATTACTGGAATGGAAATAACAACTGTAGTCATCATAATTTGGTATGATAGGACAAATGTTATAAGCCCAACATACACTAGGCAACATGTTGCTAGCAAAGTTTGTAGTTACTTTGATCTTGTAAGCAACCATAGGTGGCGGCAGGATTGGTAGAGCAGTCGGGCAGAAAAAATGGCACGTAAAGCATGCCAGAATTTTGGCCACGCCCACTTTTACGAGCGTATTTTGGGCATATACTCAATGCACATATACATTATGATATATCATAAAAATACGCCTAAAAGGCACCCTATCTAATCTGTAAAGTTCTATCTAACCTGTAAAGTGCTAGTCCTGGTCCTCCTGGAAGCTAGGCTTGTTGTGAAAGGAAAGCAAAAAAGACTGTATTTTGCTACCCGTGGTAAATTTTCATGACTAAAAATGATGTGATTAATTACATTCTCATTTCTGGTCAAAATTTTTGGTCGGGCACTGCCCGACTATGCCTGACCCTGCAGCCGCCTATGTAAGCAACATGTTGAACAGCTTTTTGGCCTCGCCCAGCTTTGCGTAGGCAAGGACTAGGTACTCAGTTTGTCTGTCTGTCTGTCATTTATTCTGTGTGCTATATTTTGTCTTTGAGAATGCTTATCTTTGCAATTGCGCACTCTAAATCTGAGAGAACTTCTCTTCTGTTAGGAAAAGTCTTGCTTTACTGCCTTTAGATGTTTAGAGAGCAGTTCTAGCTAGTAGAAGCTTTTAACTCATGAGAAAATGCCCAGCTATAGCAGTAGTACTCTGGACGTAAATGAAACTCTTTTCCAGTAGATCATGACTAAAGTCCATTTGCATTCACCAGAGCCCAGGAAGTGATTACAGACCCCACCCAATAATTAACACAATGCAATAATATTGTGAAAAGTATGGCTATACTTTCCGCTGCATGGGTTATACAACCAACTTGAAGCTAAAAAGCTACAGCTACTTCTTAAGCACTACAATAGATGCGGCAAAAGGAGAGGAATGCACTGGTATGTTTATTTTTACAATAGAACTTGTAAGTCAAAAGTTATAGCAAGAAAACAAGGGCTCAGGTGAACACGAATGGACTTTAGTTATTGTTTTAATATGTGTGGGACTCTTTAAATCTTTCTTGTTAGTTAGTTATAGCTTCTTGAATTTCAACCCGAATGAACTGTAGTCTTAAGGTCCTAAAATCTCTCAAATCACTCAATTTACATCTAGGCAACAGTATTTGTGCCATTATAATGTCATATAGCACTTATAACAAGAGAAAAATCTGAAACTTCCTTCTTGTTGCAGGGCTTACTGCCATAAAATAATTAATTAATAGTTGATGATGCCATGCCACACCTCCAATTTGAGAGTAGCTGGAGGATGCTGCTACTTCCGCAGGCAGTCTGGTTTGTTTTTAGGATGCATATCTTTGATAGAGACCACATCAAAAGCTGTGGTTTTGCAACCCATGATGCTATTTTAAAAATAAGAGTGTATAAATAGTTGATAAAATCCAAGTGTTATTGGAATTTGTAAACGCATCACAAATTTTTGGAGGGACTCCAGAGTCCCATCATACTTTCACACTTGCCCAGAGTGTCACTTTTGATCTAAATGTACAGGTGTACTTGCAGGTCAGCTTGGCTAGCTAAGCCTAACACTGCCTAATCAACTATAGGGGTGAGGCCACGCACCTTTAGTGTCTTGTTATTTCTGGCAACATGTTGCTTACAAGATCAAAGTAGATATAATCACAAATGAAGCCCAACACTATACAGTCAACATGTTGCCAGCCCTTGATCTTTCTTTCAACCTTGTTGCAACATAGCTTATGTAGTTGTATATATATTAGCAAATAGCTTCCTACATAGGCGTAGCCAGCCTAAGAAGAGAGGTGAGGCAAAAGGGAAAGGAAGGAAAATGGCGCGCGAAGTGCGCCGCGATTTTGACCACACCCCCTTTCCATCGCCGACATTTATGCATATTTTCACGCACAGTACATGATAATAATCTCGTATTTACAAAATATTATCAGATTCATATGATGATCCTGGTTCAGTTGCCTAGTAGGCCATTTTGGGTTTGAGGGAAAAAATGAAAGCACTGAAGCTTGTCTTTTGCTTGCCATCTTACGTGCCTCAACGTGGTTAACTGATTAGTCTAGTGATTATAAAAACTAATTAGACTACTAACAACAATCAATGACATCATTATTTCAAGATGGTTGACTTCCTCTGCCTATACTGCTGTAGAAGAAAGAATCAATGGAGTGCCTCTGACTGCCTCAACTTGCATGAGGCTTGATTGGTAAGTAACATTTGAGCTCACAGAGTCAGGTGAGGCATTGCCCCTCCATGCCTCACCCTGCCTACGCCTATGGCTTCCTACAAGGACAAATTATAGTGAAATGTGCACTGAAGGATGAACATTGACATTGGTTTATCTAAAATTAAAATTGATTACTTAGAAATTTTTTTTAACCTGACGCATTGGCGCTTGCTCCCATTTGACACTAGCACACTCATTGTATAATAAACCCAGCTTAAGGAGTACAATTAAAGATGATTAAACTGACTGACATAGCTGAGATGTAGGATCACATCTTTGTTTACTATAATTATACATGACATTAAGCTTGAGTTCTTGTTGTAGTAGAAATAAACGATTATGTAGTTTGTTACTATGGTATATTATTATTTGTGTATGGTATGCAGTAGTTATTATTAGTGTTTTCATAGTTAACCACATCCTATGCATACAGTATAAATTGATGTCATTTTGATTCATACATCTCTCTCTCTCTCTAAGCTCTAAGCTCTCTTTCTCTCTTGAGTATCTCTTGTGTTCGTTTTTGTGAGCTCTCTCTCTCTCTCTCTCTCTACTCTGCTTTAACTTAATAAAACATTATCAAGTACACATGTGCATGACTGCATGTACTTTAAACTTAAACAATTTCTTATGATTTAAAAACCTACATGTAGCTCCTATACTACTGATCTAATCATAGCTTATATACATGTAGTTGTGAAAATATTAGAGTCCTGCCAAAAGTTTAATTAGCATGCAAATCCAATTACCTGACTGTGTCAACATAAGTACAACCAGGAGTATAGTAAAATTTTAATCACTAAAAATGAGAATTATTTGCTAATTTCTCTCAATAGTATCATTAAAAATTTGAGTTCTGTTTTGTATCCCATAGTCACTAATACTCCACCAGTGATTGAAGCTAGAGATACTTTTATGATAACAGTAGGAGAGAAAGCATTATACACACTACGTATCACAGACCCTGGAGACACTATCAGTGTTACTATTGAATTTGATGGAGGGTTTCCATACACACTTGATCAAAATGGATCAATATGGACACTTAATGTAACACTGTCTTCTTTAGTGGAGTTCAATTTTACTGTGATAGCTGCCGACTCATTCAATGCAACATCAAAAATAACTCCACAAGTATGTGTTATGCTTATAGTATTTTAGGATTTTAAAGCATGATATAGTGTTTCATCTTCATTGGTACTGTATATTTTATTAGGTGATAATTTGTAGCTGTACAAGTGATAGAGGTAATTGTACTATTGATGAATATGAGAACAACACCAGCAATCCATTGATACTGATGTGTGATTGTATGAAAGGTAATATATGTAGCATACTTTTTGTTGTGATACAAAATATTTAATCATTAATAATTATTATTTAAAATCACTATGGAAAACATTATTTTTTGTTGATATAATCATGGGCTTTTGATTTTAAAACTAATACAAATAACAAGAGTACTATTATTTTCATCCAATAGCATATGAAGGAGAATATTGTGAGGATGATTTTGATGGTTGTACTGAAGTATCATGCTTCAATGATGCTACATGTACTGATGTACCAGCACCTGGAACTGGTGCCACTTGCCCACCTTGTCCTAGTGGATACACTGGAGATGGAATTATTTGTCATAGTAAGACCATATGCACCTAAACATTATATAATAGGATATGAATGATTTATAATTAACTCATTTCTTTAATTTTAGTTTGCCATTATTGTGTTACTGCTCTTATATTCATTAAGCATTAAGCAATACTTGATTCTTAGTAAACACTAATTAATGTACCAAAATGTACTATTATTATATTGCTAAAATGCTTCCCTTTCTTATATAAGATAATCACTATTCTTGTAGTTCCTCCAGGTACTCTTCCCTACATTGTGTTCAACAGCAGTATATCAACAGTTACTAACATAACCAGACATTACCTTTACTCTTCATGCAGAGTCAATGTTCCAAGACCTATTACTTTATTAGGCTCTGCTTTTTCATCAATTTATGTGAGTTTATAACAAAAAACCTTGTAAAGTTAGTGGTGCACATATTCATTGATTTTTTCAGATTTCCATTGGTGGCACATTTTCCATAAGTGGCCGTTTTAACTATTTCTTTCCAACCTTGTTTCCAAGTAGTATACGTGGTATAAGAGATTCAGTTATGTTTGCTCCTATGTGGAACTTTTATGACATCAGGAGAGAAGGCATGTGTACATGTACCATTTATATTCATGTATGATAAAAAGTATAGTTATTTTTAAAAGTGGTTTTAAGCTAATGTATTGTTAATAATAGTACCATAAATGTAAAAACAAGCGTAATAGTGTAAAAATATTCCTATAATTGTTTTCACCACCTTGCATGTACAGCTGGGTTCTTATTAAGACTTATGAAGGTTCTCTCTACCTTCTAATGCTTCCAGAAAAGACTTTAGACAGTATCTCTATGTTCTTACGCTGTTAGAAAGCTCATAACTTTGTCCCATGTGTAAACCGCCATTTTGTTTGCCGTAACCACACCCACTTACATAGCGTGGGCCGGCAGGTGGTTGCTAAGGCTTGTTATTTCTCCAATACAACGTGTATAGAAGAAATGTAAGTGTTGACATGCAAATAATATATCGCACGTGGGTGAAATCAATTATAGGACGACCTAGGGGCTACGCCCCCAGGTCGTAATAAAAATAGCTAGTCTTGATCAACAGGGGCGTAGCTGAGGTAGGGCCTGAGGGGGCCTGGGCCCTACCATCAAAGTGGCCTTATAATTATATTCATTGAAATTATAACCCAAAAAATTATATTCATTGTTCTTACAATAACAAAAGAGGGTGGCTGATAACCACAGCTCTTTTTAAAGCTATATACAATGATAATTTCACTCTGATTTCGCTCAGCTTGCGGGAAAATGCTTCCATTTTGCTACGTAAAAGGGGTGTGGCCAAAATCGCGGCGCGCTTCGCGCGCCATTTTGTCACCTTGCCCTACCATCACTCAAGGTCCAGCTACGCCCCTGTTGATCAATGATTTCATTGTAGAGGCATTAAGTATTACTGGTTTTTGCTTGTCATGGATAGCTTGTCACTAAATTTTTGACAATGGAAGCAATGGATTTTTTGCTTATGACTATAGTATGGAATGAGTGGATATTACAGCATCATGAATTTCTAACTGGGACATTGACCAAATTTTGCCAAAATTTATAATGACAGATCCCTCTGTGTTTATAATTTTTTCTGATACATATTTATGTATTGAGCTGATTCTGATCAAATAGTTATTTAAAAATTTGGTCAATAGCACAGGGGTGTTGGACAATTTTTGCCAAAAGTGAATTCTCAAATCAAATTTAAATTTTTAATTAATTTTTAAAGTTGCTCAAAAATTGAATCAAAGTACCTGTACTATAGTACAGGGATGAAAATTTGCCTAAAATAAAAAGGAGAAAACTTTCTAATTTATTATACATATACGTGTACTTAGATTTTGTAGAAAGTTTAAGCTTATTCTGGTTGAATTTGATTTTTTAATAAATTTTTGAATTTTTTCAAGAATCTTTTTAAGTCCCTTACTCCAAAAGTACAGGGGCGTTGGGCAAACTTTACTAAAGTTGAAAAGTAGAGATTTTTACCACTTTGAATTTAATTTTTCTTTTAATTTTGTAGGAAGTGTTTCGTATCAAACTTTCAGTTCAGACAACCCATTAGCTAATGATGTATTCAATGATGTTAACAGTTTCATTCGAACAAGTAAAAATATTACATCATACAAAGGAATGTGGATGCTAGTTATGGAGTGGAAAGATGTTCATCCTTACCCTCATGGATCATACTATTATTATTACTATTATTATTATAACCAAATTCTTGAAAAAGTAAGACAAATGATTAATTATTATTTTATTTTATGTATTTTATTTTTAGCACAACACATTTCAAGCTATTCTTACAACAGATGGTTCTGATACTCATATCATATACACATACAAATGTGGTGATATAATGTGGGACAATTACTACTCAAGGTCTGTTGTTGGATATAATATTGCTAGAGGACGCTATGAGAATCATCGTGGATCAGGAATACCTGGAGAACTATTGAAATTAGGTTGCTATGATGATATGAATAAAGCAGCAAAATACACTAATATTGTATACTCATTCCAATCTGATAAGAAAGGTCAGTTAATACTTTTCCTTATAATGCTTACTATTTATTTCTGTAGATCCCAATGTGGCCATTTGTCTAGAGAGATATAGAAATGATTTAGAGCTTTCAGCAATTTCATCATCTTTTGCAATTCCTTGTCCTTGCTCAGCATGGCAAGTGTGGTTTGACAGAAGATTCCGTTTCACTTACTATCATGACTCTGACATTCAACATGTTGAATGCTACTCTAACAGATTCTCTCAACTGTATCAAAGCATGTGCTGCTACAGGTATGCATTATATGAAAGAATTGCTTTGTGTTCTATCAAATTCTGGTAAGCTGGGCCAGCTGTCCTATTGACATATACATGTAGATCTTAATTTGCACTTTTTGACAATTTTAGTGCCTAGCATTGCAGTCACAGAGCCTGCTCAAAAACCTAAATAGTTACATGTAGATTTCTTTTGTAATTTTTTATAAGGTTTGTATGATTTGGCTTTTTCAAGAATATGTCTGTTTTTCCTTATGAAGCATAATGTAGATCTTGATCTTTTAATTTTAAGTTTCTAAGATATGAGAAGTGTTTGTTTTTAAAAATTGAATCACTAAAACAATGACTAGCATCCATTATGAATAGTGTATACAGATGGACTATTGCATTATCTTAACCATTACATTTGTATTAATTTTTTAGTTTTACTTTTCCTTCTTGGGGAGCTCTGCTAGTCAATGGTCCTTACTCCTCTCATGTCTTCCGATACAATCCATTTTTTAATTATTTGAACTATGCAAAATATGATGAAGAATTTTACTCAAAATGTTGCACCAGGACTCAGAACTGTGAGCTATTTAGAGAACGACGACCAATCAAGACATGTGCTGGCTACATACCACCAAGGAGAAGTAAGTTATTTGAGTATATATTTTTAATGTCAAACAGCATAATAGTCTAATATGATCAATGAAATTTATTATAAAATATCATTTTGACTATCATGTTCATGTTCAATGACAAATTCATGAAAATTATGACTACAAAAATTTAAACCAGCTACACAATGTTTTAATCATTTACACATGTATTTCCACTCTATTTTTGTCTCTTAGCCTGGTTCTGGGGCGATCCTCACATTAATACTCTTGATGGTGCCACATATACTTTCAATGGACTTGGGGAATATGTTCTGTTGCGTACCATTAATGCTGATTTTGAAATACAAGCACGTACTAAACTTACCACACCCAACACAACTGCTACAGTATTCAGTGCTGTTGCTTTGACTAGTGACAAGGACAGGAC